CCCCCCTTCCCTCCCCCCCCCCATCCCCCCCGCTACCCCATCCCGTAGCAAAATCCTGGATCCACCTGTAAGTGGTGGTGTAAAGTGAAATTATTATAATAATCTAAATAACACAAACACATACATACAGTACTAGTGATAGCATTAAGCAAGCCAGGGTATCTGCTGGGATCCAGCCAAGGAGCAGATGCCAAATGAGGCTTTTATAGAGCAATTTTAACGCAATGAGCAGAGCATAATTACTGAGATATATATTTAACAACAGCACAGACAAATAGAGCTTTGACATGAAAGGCAGTGATATACATGTATGGATTTATTACCTCCAACAAGGATGTTACATTTTGGTTTTTAAAAATGTTGTCTTTCACCCTTGTATGCCTAAGAGAGAAGTGATTAAAATCTGCAAATACCTGAAGATATTTCAAGCAGTTCTTTTTTTCATATATATTTTCAGAAAATTCTGGACAAAGATTATCAATGCATTAATATGAGTGTGTGCATTGTACTTGTTCAACAACTTTCAAACCTCAAAATGTCATTAGTTTTTTTTTTCTTAGTACATGATGTGTATACATTGCTTAAAAAATGCATCCAAGTATATCAGTGCATTCCTCCCTCCCCCTTCCCTCAGTATTGACTGCAGGGCTTATGCACAAACAAACAAACTGACACATAATATTTCTATGTAAACCCAACACTACATTACTTCATACATTCTTTCATGACTTCGATGAACACAGACAATCCATTTCTACAAAAAAAAATGTTAATAATACAATACACTGCAAAGAAAATCATGACATGATTATCTGTTATTACTATATGACACCCGCAACTTTCACCTAAAATATACCTATTCCTAATCAGTCATACTACATGGCACTTTACGACAGATATGCAAAGTACAAGTTCATAGTAATTTGACTTTGGGATGCCACCACCAAGTCTTGTTACAGCCTGTGATGTAAATCACTGACCCAACTGCCAATGCCTGAAAAAATCAGGCTAGGCCAGTTAAATATTCTGAAAAACAGTCTGATACTGGCCAGTCTGGGTTTGTAAATTTTTTTCAGCTATTATAATAACATGTAATTCAGTTTGTTTTATAAATCTTCAGGTTATATGTTGAAGTCTTTTTAATAAACTTTTGAAAACCCCATGTTTTTGTTCTTATTTGTAATAAGAAAACTGTTTAATCTCAATATGTTAATTTAAGTGATTAAAAAAATGGACTTGGGCCAGCAAATTTTGGTTTGGATCAGTAGATTCTCAGATCCTGATGGTTAGACATCCTGCAAGTTGAAAGTATTTGGCACATACTAGTATTACGACCTTACCCCAGTTGGTACACATAAGAGCTGCCTGTCCAGCAACCCCCCCTCCTCCTTTGACTGAATAATGCTTGAATAGCCACATTTAACAACCAATTGTGTGCACCAAAATGGCACGCCTGTCAAAATCTCACATCTCACCATTAAATCAGTAACACCAAATTAGAATGAATTCTAAAACCGGTCTGTGATTTTAAACATTTGAATCCCTAACAGAAGCTAAGAATCCATTCATGTATGTTTATTTTCCTTTTAAAATTGTCTTAAACATTTCTAAGGATAACTTTAATGTCACTTCTTGCAGATCATGTGATAAATTTTGTGGAAAAAATTGCACCCAACTCTCACGTTTTTCAGCGCTTAAAACCCTGGATTTTTTTTTACAGCCACTTAAACTGCATTCCAATAACAAGGCGCACATCCAATAACACGTAACTTTTAAAATAAACAGTGTCACATTGAATTCTCCAATCAACCGACTGAAGTAGAGTACCACATGGATCTCAGAGCACAAGTTTCTTTTTTAATTTGAACCTGATCCCAACATTACAATGTAAGAGTAGCAACAAAAAAACAAAATGTAAAATAATAACTTGAAGCAATTGTAAACTTTAGAGGAGGACTTGCAAATAATTACATCAACTTGAGAGTTGGGTGTCCTCTAGGGCCAAAGGGCTCCAAATATTGTTTGTACAGTAAAATTAATTGCTTTTTTGTTTTCTTTGCTTTCTGCTAGGGACTAGAAAGAAAGAAGCATACCAAGTGTTGGCAAAACTGATCGAGCTTCTCCTTTTAACCCTAAAGGAAATGATATAAGGAAATGACAAGCATTTAGAGTTTTCTTTTCATTAAAGATGACTTAAAGCGCATTTTGTGCTAATCCAATTTAGCCACCTTTGGACCAATCAAAATTTCATATCTAAATGCAATATTTACATTGTCAGAAATACTTCTATCTAGTAACACTGGTCAGCTCACCAATGGTTCCACTTTAAATCTAGCAACCAAAATATCCCAAAGCCTTAATTTTGACAAACTTCTAACGAGCTTAGCTATTTTGAGTACTATAAAAACAATTACATTTATTTTGTGCAAAAATTTAAATCACTACTTGTTTTACAAACAAAAAAAATTTTAAGAGGAAGCTCATGTTTTATTCAACAAACATTTTGTTGTTCTCGTACACCAATAAATTTATAGAGTGTGCCCCACATTTTACATGCAATGCTTCACACTAAAACACCAGTTTCCTGACTCATTTTCCCTACAGTAATGTAGTAAAGAAAAATCAGTACTTAGTCTAATAAGGAGTCTTAGGGACATTATCACATTATGTCTCCTTTTCTGTTGGATATTGTCAAAAAAATCTTTATTTTTGACCTAGCCAGTCCGTAGATCATTTGGTGCTTTTTTTTAACCTGGTCTTCACCTTGTTAACATCCAGTTTTAAATGGCTCCAGGCTCAAAAAGGTACGTTAAGTTGACCCCCAAAACTTGACCTCAGTTCAGTAAATCACATCTGAGATTGCAGTGTCACTTTACATTTAAAAACACAGTGGGTACCCTGTGGCACATATTAAAACATGCATGTTCTCTTTACGATGTATTTTTCATTTAAGAAAAAAAAATGTCTGCTGAATAATGTTAAAATCAGGACCAGGCGTAACACATGGGTTTAATACTAATAAGAGGATTCGCGTGTTTACCTGCACCTCTGCCAAGGAAATATGTTCTTTACTCACTTTGACCTTAATACAGCCAGGTCACAAATAGCAAAAAACATAACTGTCAAAATAATAAAAAAACTGGGATGATGGCATTATTTCTGTCCCAAAATCTAGATCCACACACCTAAAAATCCAACTGTATCAAAATTCCAGTCAACTATATGCAACAAGTTGTTAAACAAAGTGCAGTATTTAAATATATTCACTGTCTTCCCCATCATCTTAATCAAATGACAAAAAGTTTAAATGGGAACACGTGGATCCTGGATGCATCCTGGATGCGAGTGTTAGAATGCCTATTATAAAGTAATTACATACAAAACGTACTTCCATGTTTAGCAAGACAACCACTATCAGTAGAGACCATACATACTTCATGCAGCTGAGAGCCCAACTATTTATCTGCATAGTTATCAATAAAACATCTGATAAAAAATAATGGTTCAAGTCACGCTATCTGAGTTTGTATATTGCTCTAAATAAAAAATATATAGTATATACATTCAGTTATGTGAGTAACATAAAGTTGGTTCATGCTTTTTCGACCATGTGTGACTTAAGTCTGAAAAACTTTACAGTTGTTACCCTGTTTCTACTGCTTCACATGGTATCTCATAACTAAGGGTGAATGGATACATTTTAAAAACCAAACTTTTCTGTAAGAAATATAAAAGTTTGCTGTCAGAATCCAATTTTGAATATTAAATATAATAATAATAATAATAAAATGTTTGTTAAAAAATAGACAACACTCTGAGAAAACAGACATCAAATCATTTTGAAATTTTAAAAAATCTTTAAAGATATTTTAAGATCCATGTCAGTCAAAATTGCATTTAGTTCTGTATCCTTTATGAACAACTATATGTCTATCCTGAATATTTCAATGAAACTAAAAACTTTAAGAGATATCTTGTCCTAACAAAAAAAAAAGGAACAAAGAAAAAAAATCAGTTGGAAACAACCCCACTCGTTGTCACATTTAATAAAAAATAAAAAAGCCCTCCATTGCAAAAGCCTAAATGACTGTAAATCTTAAAGCTCAAATTTACTGTCCTCTTTGTGAAAGTATCAGCTTACTCTACCTTCAACCTGTTTATTTCAAATCATGTCACCCTCCACATGGTGACATTATCCTCTTTACGGGACCACAAGCTTTTCAACGACAGTCAAAAGCCATTGAACTTGGCACAGGCCGTGGCAAACAGGTGATACTACATCGTAACTTCCCAGCAGTAGTGAGTGCAGGCCTGTTGCCATCAATTGCAAAAGGGGGGGGTTCTTTTTCTGAAAATGTGGACCTTTTATCATGATACCTTAGTTTACCTTGTATACATCAAATTTACCCAGAGTGGACCTTTTCCCTCCCAAACCTCACCTGGCTACAAGCCTGAAGCGTCTACAGCATCATTTCTTTGCAGGAAACTCGACTGAACAAGCTTACTTGATTTAACGATTATCTCTTCATATGCAAAGTATAATAATTTAATTTGTATATCAACTTACAAACACCTTTTCTTGATCACCACCGGGAAGTGTAAAGAATTTAGACTATTTAAACTGGCAGTAACTGACATACGTGAACTGACTAACAATAAACTGGCAACATTCATATTTCACTGAATTAAAATTATCATTCAATGATCACACACACACACAAAATCATTTCAAAATACCAAAAACAAAACCCTGATCAAACTTACCTTCAAATTTGCACGGTTATCCAGTTAATGTGTAACTTTTAAGTGCTATCGACTGTGGAGCTGGCCGTGGACCGTGTCATAACACATACACAGACACAGCGTGTACTGTCTTCTCTGTTAGTGAGCGGTCACGGTGTGTTCCTCACACATCTTGGGGAAGGACTGAAGAGAAAAATCAGGAAATGAAACATTAGTGGTAATTTCCTGTCGGGGAAATTGGTCCAAAACCGTTCCCTGATTAACGTTGGTTAATTAAACTCGTACAACGGACAAACATGTTCATAGCAATACAGAAACATTTATCACCGAAGGCAACATTTTAAGTTAACTCTCAACAGGGGAACTGCAGGGGGGGGGGGGGGGCTTGTGGGAATATTTCTTATTTTACTGCCTGTCCTATTTAAATGCTACTAGTAATGATTAACAATATTGGCTGATTACACTCTTACAAAGGAAAACCCTGTTCACAGCAATACAGCAACACATTTCATTTAAGGTAATGTTTTTTTAATCTTAAAATGAGCTCATTACAGAGGTTGGGAGGGGGTGGGGATGAGGGATGCATCTTACTGGACCAGGTATTTGATAGCCTGTCTTATATTTAATAATATGTCTTAATTATTACAAACAAATATACATGTACGCATTATGTTTTTTGACTTATTTTTGGCTTAAATAGTTAGATATTAGAAAAGAGCAAAAATCAAGCAAATAACAGCTAGTGATCAACACCAGGTACAACAGCTGTGCTCACACATGCGTACGCTTTGGACCGAAAGCAGCCCGACTTGTGTTGTCACCAGAAAGACATAGACTGAGGTACTTCATTTTGTTATTTTTTAAGTGGCTTTTACTAATTTCCTAAATGTTATCAGTTTTCAATTTTAAAACCAAAATTTTGGCCAATTTAAGTGAAATTTTAGCTACCGATTACACAAGCACTTTTAAAACAAGAGAAGGCGTATCACTCACTGGGGTAGCGCTAACACTCGCCAATTTAGCCAAATGCTAAAACTGACTTAAATTGGCTAAACAAAAAGGGCTTGATTTGACTAATTTTAGTCAAAATAGAACCATTTGGATAACAAATTGACAAAAAAGTGGTGATTTGGCTAAAGGAAAAAAATTGATAGCGCTACCCCAGACTCAGATAATTTGATTCCTCACAGAGTTAGATCAATCTATCTAGTATGATAGTTATATCTTGTGAAAGCACCCTAAATTACAGGCACCTATAGTATCCTATCCTAAATATTAACCAAGTAAAGTCAGCTACAAAAGAAAACCTTCACAAAAATGAACAACTTCTCAGGACAGTGACCCTTCACACAATTAATGAGTGGAGCGGCTTCATCTCCGAACTATCTACTGGAGGAACGTGACATCCATCAACATGTGAAACAACTACATATTAATCAGTAGAGTTACTAATAACAGGATCTCTCTCTCTCTCTCTCTTTCTCTCTCGATGTACTTGTATGTATAGGCTGTACAAAGTAAACAACTGACAAGAAAATTATCATTTTCTGCTTCAACTATCTTAATTCTGACCTGACAGCAAAACAGCAAAACTGTGAAGTTTGGGAATTAAATTATGATTGTTTTAATCACAAAAACAGGTCACCTTTTGTGTGAAAAACCTGATGAAAATGGCTATACTGCAGGAAGTGATGTGCTAATTAAAAGCACGATATGAGACAAAATTACTGAAACGGTGCCGATAATTTGTTGTTTTTTCCAAAATGAGTGAAATAATGAACGGCATGTGAACAGTCAGACTGCGTCATAGATGACAGGCAAACGCAGGCAGGTTATTTGTTGCAAAACAAAGCAATTTTTGTAAGATTAATGAGTGTTATTACTCAATTGACTTACATATAGATATGACATGCTTACGTACTACATTTCAAAGGCCTTAAGTCAGTGCTCGATTTGAAAAGGGGTGATGTTTTTTTCGGAATATATGGACCTTTATCTCCTTCCCCAGTGGCTAACTCAGCTTGAAAAGAGGGGGGATGAAATAGATCAAATTTTGATAAAGAATTAATCTTTCTGGCCAAAAGGTCCACTGAGAAAACAAATATATATCTTTTTTTAATCTTAAAAGAACCTGCAATGAGGCTGGATCTTAGAAGGGTGGAGGAGAAATTATCAGGCAATTATGATTTCCCTTCAGATTGTATCTAATTCAAACTTATTTATCCTTTTGAACGAATCAAAATGATAAAGCTATTCACTAAGCACCAAGTTGAAATATTTACATTTAATTATGTTGATCTTTAAGGAGGATGAATCTAAAACAAGATCAGAATCAGTTTTACTAGTTTAAATATTTCTTGACAGAATTTTTCCTAATGGACTCCCAGCTTTGCTTCAAAAAATATGTTAATATAAATATTTCATATCAAAATGTATGTACTATGTGTGTACTATGAACCAAACAGTGAAAGTTAATTACACAGAAAATAAATATTTCAAGTTGACCCATTAGCAAGTACAAATGGATGCTAAAAATGAGAAAAACCTATCAAAACGTGGAGAATAAAAATCTTAATATTTTATTTTCAGATGTTGCTATGTCGCACGTCATGGTGAAGAAAATTGCATTTTGACATGGAATGTTTTAAAAAGTGCATTACAAACAGGTGTGACTTCCTACGTGCAGTAACTATTTGTGTACTTCAGGACATAAATTATATATATACTTGGCAGACAATTATGCTTCCTTCATTGTATATAAAAAGAAGACTAAAAGTTCAGTTGTGTTTCTAGTGCAGCTTGATCCTCCTAAGTATCGGGGCTGTGTGTGTGCATTTGCGTATGTGTGTACACATGAATATATGTGTGTGTTCAATTGTGCAATGGTGTGGGCACATACATGTACCAGCTAATATGTGCATATATATATATATATATATATATATATATATAAAGTTCACTGCAATACCTCTAATTCACCTACCTATAATAGGTAATATAATACATCACAGGTACTCCACTAGTCCACAACAGTACAAGTTTTTAATAGACGAAACATGAGCAAACTGAAACATATAACCAAATGATAATTAAATAACAGTATATACTACCCATAGGCCTTTATAGCGACCAATTTAAGAGGGAGGGTGGGGGTCTTTTTCTGAAATAGTGCACGTGTGCCTAATTTAACCCCCTTTGTAGACCAAACTTGAGAAACAATGAGAACCTCAGCCCAAGAACCAAAATTAGATTTTGATTCGGAGTGGACCTTTAGTAAACTAAGTGGGAGGATTCTTTGGAACCCCCCTCATCCCCCACCCCCTCCCCCACCTATAAGCCTTACATAAACAACATATCATTTTTAATTAAATATATTTTCAATTAAACATGCAGTCTAAATATTTTGTATTTCTGTGATTACCCTTACCTCACTACTAGTACCTGAATATAGCTTGATTAATTCAAGTTACTTTGTTGCCTCTGCAGAATTTAGATCTATATCGACCTACATGTATATTGATTATCAGGATTATAGGTTTATTTTCAGTTCAATAGTTCCATCAAAACTCTACAGTTACCATATTAGTGTTATTTCAATAAAGTGTTTTCCTTTACAACACCTATATGCGTGGAGCTTATGTAATTATATCAATTCAAGTAAGAGAGCTTGCCCCGCTTTAATAGGAATGTAAACTTGACCCATTTGAAGATAAAATTTCATTCATACAAATTTCACGCGATAATAAAATAAAGGTATTCAAATCAATAAAGATTTAAGGATTAGGGATCGAAATGGTCAAATTCTATAGATATGAAAGAGGTGTTTCATCAGTGTTCGACAAAATACCCCCTTTCCCCGTCCAAGTCTTGTACATGAACTAGCACCGCAGCCTGAATCATAATCTGAATTAGTTATCATTGAAGTTCGGCATAGATATGACGGAGAAAGAGTGTTTGTGGGTTACAATTAGTCACTGCATGAGTGCTGCTGCTCAAGCTGGTTCCATTTCAGTATATATTTGATAGAAAAAAGTTTCTGAAGATTTACATCTTGCCTATGAGGGGATAGCAGCATTTGCTGTTGTTTGTTGCATAGTTTTAAATTGAGTCAGAGAAGGAAAGGTCCTTGGCTTTAATAACGACTTTGCTACTGTGTACTTTGGTCAGGTAGTCCTACATAGTAGTCATTGTATTTAATAATATGAAATGACTGGCTATACACAAAAGGTCAAGAAAAATATATTATCAGTCAAGCAAGTAGATTAGGTGTACCATAATTTCAATGATTTTTCCATGGTTTACTTATATTTCTAAAATCTTTTCCTTCCCTTTAAATATTTTTGTGTAATTCCATTGTTTCATGTTTGTTAATTAGTGAAATAAAATTCAATCTGCCTACTAGTACTTTTAAGATTTGACATCTTACCTTCTATAGCTAAATTGTATAATAATCATATATGCTCTCAAAGTGAACTAACTCCTCCCCTAAAAATATCTAGACCGATTCAAGTATCAAAAATAAACATGCTGATCAACAAAACATGACCTACTAAAATTGACCACAGTGGACGAACTGAATAGATGTGATACTGATTAATCTTGATTTAATAGCTTCNCGTTGCTTAAATAGGACAGATGCACTGGCAGATGGCTCCAGGCTGTCTTCTGGGTTTTCTGGAAGGTGGTCAGAGTTTTGAAATTTGCACTGACAAGCATGCGTTTTTTTCTGTTGGAAGACAGTCGAAAATGGAGGACAGATAAACAAAGATAATTTGGAAAAGTGTCAGAAAATATCTCTGGATCCACCCCTGAGATAGGAAAAAAAGATCCATGTCAAACAAGGGTCAAAAATATTACACTTTTATCATGGTCACTACCTCAGCTGACATTGCGGATTAGGGGATTTAGAGGGATAAACACAGCAACAGGTGAAGAGATTGTTACCTGCAACTGTTTACACTGGTTAAATGGTGCCAACAAACTGCGCTCCAGGATCACTTAATTTTGTGGTGATAAAGACCGTGTATACTAACAACAGAGAAAACAAACCAACCGCACTTAACATCACGTCCATACATATAAAAATATTTCAGTTTAGGTTGATCATTTTAGCAATAAAACAAACTGGGATATATATCTGCAGTTAATTCCACTGGTTAAGAATACAGGTGCAGTACCTGCTGGTCTTAAATACATTCTGGTTATAAAAAAGATATATAAAACTTGTTATTTGTTCAGACTACTACTGTACGTTTTATCTCTAGTGAAAACAAACTTAAATTCTAGTCTCAATGTTTAGAGTCACTTTCAGGCTAGAAGTCATTTATAAATCTGCTCTCTGTTAATTACTGATGCTTGACTGCAACTTCAAGTATGAATTTTTTATTTCTTTTTCCCCCAGTTCTAACATCAAATAGGTTAAACTCTGACTTAACTCATTCAACCAAAATTCTTTTAAAACAAAAATGAGAAAATGAAGAAATCCTGCCCTGTTTTCAGACTTAAAGCCAAAAAAACAAACAAAACTATGAAACACTAATCACACAAAAAAAAGCTGGGCTGAAGCCAACTTGCAGCTTTTTTGTAGGTTCTCTTAAGTTTCTCCAGCAACTAATTAAACCTTTTAGTCTAGATGACTGGTGCAAAAATTGCTCAGAATGTGGAAAAAGCATGAAACTTGGCACAAATGTTCTTTGGACTATGCTGATCATTTTCAAGGGCAGTGCCCAAAATTTCTAAGCGTTGCTTAGCAACCGTTGCTAAGGAAGTGATTTACCTTAGTAACAAGCTAATTGGACCTTTCTTGTTCAGTTTAAATGATTTAAAAAGGCTTTTAATAATGTTTCAAACCATCAGAACTATCACTTTACTATTTGAAGACATTAAAAAACCAAGTAAACCATTGCAACAGTTGCTAGTCAGCATATTACCCTAGCAACAAGTATATAACATTATATATATAATAATATATATTTAATAATATATATATACAGATATCTCTGTAGCATTTTACATACCCTCCAGTCCCTTCCCATCTTTCTGTTCCCATTCTACATATACTTACATGTTTCTNGACCAAAGAACATTTGTGCCAAATTTCATGCTTTTTCCACATTTTGAGCAATTTGGCCAAAATATAACACCAGTCATCCAGACTATTTGTCATTTTAAGTGGAACAGAGTGATCTTCAGTAAATTAAATCTAGGGTTAATTAACTCGTTGGCTGGGGACTTTGGGTGTGTTTCCAGTCATTATGAATGCCCTCACTTTGTACATATTATCAGAGAGGGTGTGCAGTAAAATATATTTCTTAATTATCATTATTATTAATATTATCATCAAATGTCAAATGCACAACTTAATTACAGTGGTAATATGTGGTACAACAAACTAAAGGAATTATATTGGTTTCCTCTGGTGTGCTAGTCATAACGATAGAGGCTGGTTACAGTGGTGGTACAGCAGAGAGATAAGATTGGTTTCATGTGGTGAGCTAATCCTAATGGTACAGGCTGATTACAGTGGTAATGGGTGGTATAGCAGACAGATTAGATTGGCTTCTAGCTACTCCATGCATTCAGGGAGAGTCCCAATGGAATTGGATGGATCTATGTAGAACAATGGTTTCAATGGGAATGGGCCCTTAATTAAAAAGCAATACAGAAGTGATACGAGAAACAGGCCTAGGGTGAATTCATGGTGTTGTATACTAGACCCTTATTTGGCTGAACTTAAGAGAAAACATAAATATCAGTGGATAAAAATAAATTATATCAGTTTTTTTTTTTTAGTGGTCTCCCAAATCCAGTAAAATCTTGCTTGATTTTATGCTAAGTCACAAGAGTTTACTGGCTTTCTCCAATGATTCCTTTTCTTTCCTCAAATGATCTTAAACACGGTCATTTTTTTAGCTTTGATTTCTTTCATTATGGCAAATTATGAAGAAATGGCCTCAGGAGATTTTTGTGCAGCGTACAGCATAAGAGTGCACTCTTACAGACTCCACATTTAATGCACTTTTAAAGCTATTTCTTGCACAATTCATTGTATTTTTTAATCAAAGTGTGATACCCTTCACTTATTTGCCAAAACAAACAATAGGTGTGTGTGTGCGCACACGTGCACGCATGCCTGTGTGTGCCTGAGTATATGCATATGTATGTGTATACATAAACACTAACAAGAGAGTGGATCGAGCATTTGTTTTCACACATGAAATGTCTTCCTCAAATCAGTTGCTCAAATCGTCCCAGAGCAAAGACTTAATAGATCAATTTACAATTAAGCCGTTATTAACTGATGCTTTTTAATACTGGACATACCCAGATAAAGACAACTGGTGATCTATCATTCAAATACACATCCCTTGACAAATACATGTACTGTACATGTAAGGCTGAGATGAAAAATTCCTCCCTTTTTGTGGTCAGTTATCAAGACGTCCATTGTGGATGAAAATAATCAGCCATCAGGCTGATCACCACTGATTAAATGCTAAGCTTTAATTCACATGTCTCAAATGAGTTCTTCATGAACTGTACTGATAATTTCACTAATTAATAACTAATTAAATACTGAGATTAAAAAGAGGAAGAAAAACATTCACCATTTCACCCATACTTCACAAGAAAGGCACACAAGGGAAAAAAAGAAACCAATTGAAAGTGAAAATTTCTCCATGATTAAATGGTATTGGATTCTATTACAGTTCACTTCGATCATTAGTTATTAGGTTACGTCTTTTCCCCTGACAGATATTTCCATAATCTAGATGCCACGGCAGGAGTGTGGATATTAAGATGCATATTCCATAAACACTTTTGCACTCCCTAAAGCTACAGGCCTGATATCAGAATTAAAAATAAAAAAAAAACATCCTTACTTAAGCTGTGATCTCTCGAATGCAACTCCCAGATCAATTTTTACAAAAAAAAAAGTTATAGACTCAACTAGAGAGAGCAACTGGATTGTAATCTACTTTATTCTTGCTAATTGCTTTTTTCTGTGACTGCTCATCTCAGAGACTATAGCCAGATCTAACCTTAAACAGTAGATGCACAGTGTCAACTTTTTCAACCTTTGCATCATCTTTAAATTTGACAAATGAAATTGTTTATTCATTAGCCCAAAATTGTATTCACAAGAACTATAGAAAAGCTTGAAATAAATGTCTGACTTCTACAAAGTGTCAGCAACATTACCTTAGACAAAATAGTTAAATTACCAAATTAAAAAAAATATCAATACTTTTAAGGATTAAAATCTAAATATAATTGATAATCATCTGAGTATATTGCCTCACAGTTAAGTTAACTGTAAACCAAAGTCATGCAAAAAAAGAAAAAAGCAGCAATATCATGGGGTAAAGTGCTGTCAAGAAATATAAAAATCCACAAGTTAAAATACACATGCTACTTATTACTTGAGGGTGCCTAAATTTAATACAACTGCTTTAAACTCAAATAACGTGATTTTCTTTTAGGGAACATGAGAAAAACCAGCTCAAGCATGTGTTCTAAAGCTGCAGCCCTTGTAATAGTCCTCATTTCTTCTTATGGAGTAAAATTTGTATTTTTCTGGCAATTGTCAAGTGTCCATGCATACATGAATGCACGTGTGTCCCAATAAAAGTTGCCTTTTATGATTTTCCATGTGAAATAAATTGAATCAAAGCATCTCGGCACAGTGAATTTGTGCATGTAGCAAGTTTTGACCTTGAAAGCAAATAAACTCAACTCTCATGTGAGATAAACAGAGGCTTAAACCATCCACTTGGATATAAGCTTAACACAGAATACCCTTTTAGTCTCCCCTGGGGCGAGTGTGAGACTGTGATAAGACACTACAGGATAAGTTTCCCAGCTTCCAGCATTATAATATAAAAACTATGTAACTACTGCCACCAATGGAGGTAGGCGTGGGACATCATAAAGATTAGATTTGCTTCCTATGTTGCGGTTATCATAAACAGAGAACTCTATAAGATGGGCCCGCCTAAACAAAATGGAAACACGACACTACACTGATTGAACCAAATGACCTGCGGAAGGGTTGAATGAGGTCAAAGGTCAGGGCAAACACACCCTCTCTTTTCACTTGTGTCAACAAATACATCTTCCGCATCCCTTTTCATTATTAGAGAAAACACTCAATGGACTTGTTCAGACAAAGCTGACTGAGGACCGAAGACAGGACTAACTTGTATCAGCAGATGGATCTGGTAAACAAACCACAAATTTAGAAATCTTATGCACGACAGGATAACTCCATCTACAGTCTTTCAAAAAATACCAAACTGGGTCTCAGACATCCAAATACATGGTTTATCAATTCAGCAAAACTGTTGATGCATGTCTGTCTCATTTACGGTCTTTAGTTGTCCTTGTCTGAACAGGCTGTGATTTCTGGGTCATGCAGCCACCTGCTATGAAATCTGTTTTATCACAAAGTGAAAATGAATCTTTTTAAGGGCAATTTGGCTTTGGTCCACTGCAGCCATGGGAAAGAATTAAAACCAGTGAGATTTGTGGAAAACAATTATGTAAAAATACATTTGCAATGCAAGCAAAACTTTTTTCAAATTAAATCAACTAACTTTTGGTCTACTATATAAAGTCATACAAAAAAATCATAAATTTGTGAGCTTCCCAGGCACTTTCTTTGTACAGTGCTCAGTGATTCATTTTATCAGAAAACAGCTGCTAGTAGCATGATTGTGTCTGCTGATGAATTTTTTGAAAAACAAATTTTTTCTTCCCCAACAATGTATTAATCCCCCTGTATATTATAATACATTATAACTAGCCTGTACAATTCTAGACCATAATCAACTCAAATACATCACGGCGCATACTTGTAGTAATACACAAGACTACTACATTATAACATGTTTAGAGCATAACTGTGACACAGTCTAGGGCATCAATATGGTCAGTTTATTTACAGTGAACATAATGTCCTGTCCTGTAATGTACTGTCAGATATTATATAGATGTATAAATGTATTTAAATGTGATTTATCAAGAAAAATAATACTCCTTGTCAAATTATATATTTGGCAGAATCAGGTACGTTCCACTGTTCCCTGAAATATATATATACTCACAATAAAGATGTTGGTCACACCTTAGTTCCTTGTGCTGAAATCTACACAAGGACCTGAAAATGAAAACAATAGCGGAAGTGATTAATTTAGTAAGTTGATAGGCATTCATGATTATTAGCACACAATTTTACCACTTAAAGGTTCAACATAAGTGCTTATTGAGATTACATGTGTAGAATTATTATTCTGTGTAAGCTGTTCAAAAGTAAATAATAAATACCCTTGAAGACGGAACGTTGATTTGTTCAGCTGTTCTCCGCTTCCGCAACGTTAGGAACGAACCACGCGGGGTTTCATTTTTGCCCTCTGTCGGGCTTAATTTCCAAGATGAGCTTTTCTGTCAAAACTATAGATACAAATGACATTCAACAACATTCAATATTTAAGCCTTTTAAAATTAGTTATACCACGTATTAAGCCTTTTTATAATGAAATCTTAAGAATAATCATTTTTTCGTCGTGGTGCTTTGTAAATAATGATACGAAACTAAACCCTAGTGACTCACTCGGTTTTACATGTTAGTCAGAATTAGGTCAAAACTTCCGGGGTAGAAACACACAGGTCACAATGGTGCTCATAGACGAGGTAAGTTTTGACAAGTTTTTGTTGGCAAAAAGTCTTTTATATTTTCGTAATGTACTCGATTTAACTTCTCGACGTTCCTCTTGTGTGTTTAGTTAAAATTAAGACTTCAAATTAGTCAAATTGGTGAAAATCCCAGTTTAAAGCGTGGAAGATTCTAGGTGTGTCTAAATTTGGAAGTGCATGCAGATTACCGAGAGTCAGGTTTCACATCTCAGAACATGTGCTCCCAGGAACAAATACTCTTAGTTTAAATATGATCCAGATGATTAGACAATTGTATTTGTCCATTGTTTTCCTCTGATTGATTTCTTCTTACAGTAATGTGCAGTTATTTATTTGATATTTTGCTATGTTGATTTGGTTTGTTTAGTTGGATGATAGATAAATATTTAAATAAATAAATAAACAACGAACCGTCTATAAATACTTGTGTATTAAAGTATGTTTTTATGTTATATAAGAGTTGGTTGCACTCTCTAGCAACATATTTATATTTAAGTCACAATCAAACTTCAAGTTTTAGATATTGGTTTGTTATATACAAGTACTAGTATCATGTATGTATGTTTCTCTGTTCTTGTGGGGGTAGGGGGGTGGAGGCAAAGGAATTAAGGGACCAAAATAGATATGCATGTAACTTGGAAGTTTTGTTATTTTTCAGGTACCAGATTTTGTCACATTAAAAGAAGAAGGCAACAAATATTTCACGTCAGGACAATATGATGCAGCTATCTCTACCTACACAAAGGCATTAGAGGTAAATAGTTATTACTGATCTGTGGTTCTCATAGCTGCATTCACTACAGTGAACTAACAAATCCTCGGATCAGTTATTACCCCATTCACACACGCTCAGTTATTCGGATAAATTGCGAATTAGGTCACAATTCGAATAAATGCAGTAGTGTGAACGCAAGAGGATTTTTGTAATGCGCATTTTTAAAATCCTGCAAGCGAGCTGAATTTCTAAGCACAATCCGGATAACTTACCGGAATCGACACCTGTACAGATCTAACTGCGCATGTGTGCAGATAAGTGCGGGTATCTATGAACGCTTGTTTATTACTTAGGGATTGGAGGTCACCACTCACTACAACATGAGGAAACAAACTTATTTTGCCATCTTATACTTCTCAAGAATGCTGGAATGTCTTTAGAGTTGCATTTGTCGTCACAAATTTTTGTTGGTATTTTAAGATTTCCTGTGCGGCGCATGCGCCAGTGTTCAAAACAGGAAGTTAAACCTGAAATTTTCAACGTGTAATTTGGTTTCACTTAGCGTGTGTGAACGCAATACCGAATCGAATTCCTTACGAAAAATTCGGATTATAGAAATGCGCATTTTTGCAACTGTAGTGTGAATGGGGTATTCGGCTGACCCACTTGAATGCTTGTTGAGTAATCCACTGTGTAATCACCAGCTTTTCTGTATTCAACTCAACACCAAGAGAAGGAAACAAATTGTAAATTGGCCTGATATATTGACTTGATAATTTCTTTGCATTTAACTCTTATAATCTTGGTCAGCAGTGCACCAGTATCTCATAAACGATAAAATTATCTCAAATTAAAAAACTTTTTGGAAAAGTAAAGTTATCATTTTGATTTAAAAAAAGCTGTTTAAGAAGTGTTTTGGAAAGTACATCTTTTTCTTTTTGAGGAATCGGACGCTAAGCCCCAGGACAAAGGCGTGTTGTACAAGAACAGAGCTGCATGCTATCTCAAACTGGAGAAGTATGAAGAGGCATGTGCAGATGCTACCCAAGGTATTTTACTAAAGCTTCTTATGTACATTATAAGAAAATAAGTTTTTATTAGTGCAGGCACAATGTTTACAGAGGCAATGCTATATAACTACTGATATGATTTTTACAAACCAGAAATAAGTGTGAGAACATTAATTTACATATTATTTACACATACATCTCTATTCTATTTCTGCCATGGAGATTGTCCCAAATGAGAAAATATCATATTTTTCAGTCTTGGAAATAAATCTCTGTAGAGATAATATCTGGTATTTTCTAGCCTTTGAAAAAAATCTGCAGTAAGAGAATCTCTGGTTATTTTTCAGCCTTGGAGATATTCCCTAATAAAATAATGTCTGGTTATTTTTTCAGCCTTGGAGATCATCCCTAATGACCCCAAAGCTCTGTTCAGACGGTGTCAGTGCTATGAAAACCTGGGCAAGATTGAGGATGCTTATAAGGACGCCAAACAGCTGCTGTATGTGGAACCCAAGAACAAAGCCATCCAGCCTGTCTTGAGGAAACTGAATGCTCTTCTGCAAGATAAGGTAGAATTAGTTCCACTGATAACCCAAAAAACAACACAAAACAATAAAAGATAATTCTTGACTCCGAGATGAAATAAGATCAGTCGTACATATACTTTTCGCTCCACCTTATTTAGATCTTTGTTATGGGAACGTTGATTTTCCAACTGGATGTGACACCTAGGAAACCATCTTATCTTGTTATTTAGGCTAAGTGTAGAAAAAAAAACTTTTCATCTTATATAGAGACCACAGTTCATAGTAACCTCCCTTCCCCAAATTAGATAAATATGAAGAAAATCAAAGTAAACTTGATGCTAAATGTCCATTTATGTCAGGTTGAGGATTGTTGGGAAAACTGTTAATGCGGTCAAGATGGGAGTGGAGTAAAACACTTTATACATGTAGGCGATCAATGTTGTAATCACGTATAGATGGTGCTTCATGTTGTTTCAGCTCAAGGAACAGAACAGCACTGACAACAAGGTGACGCAGATGTTCAAGCTGGCATTTGGGGAGGGTGATGACAAGGAGAAGAGAGAACAGGTGAGTTGTAGGCTGAACTGTTTGTGGAGGGCAAGACTGTTGGGTTGTCCCTAAGTATCCTTGCCCTCTGTAACATCTCCATTAAACATTCTTCATATTTTCATACCAAAGAAAAAGTAATAAATTATGCACATGCATGCACAGTGGAATTTTATACGTATAAGAAGTAACAAGAAGTGTTATGGACCAATACTTTTTTGAAAAGGAAGAGAAATTCAGGGGGAAGAATATTGCATGTATATGTTGTCCTTTAGTGATACTTGCTGTGAACTAAACACCCAAAGTTTCTGCATAGAAAAAAATTAAAGGTATAAAATAAAGAAAAGGAAAAGGAAGAGAGAAAGAAAAAAGAATCCATTTTACGCAATTCTTTATAATTTAAAATCATGGATATTTGTTTCATAAAATGTCCTATGTGTAAATCCTCCAGGCCATCAATAACCTTATTGTCCTGGCGCGGGAGGAGGCAGGCGCGGGGAGGATCATGCAGTCAGGCGCTGTGACCAACCTGAACAAACTCCTGGACAGCTCCAACCCTGTCATTGTGGTGGGATCACTCAGACTTCTGGCTTGTCTGGCTAAGGAGAACAGAAAGAGGGTAAGAACTGGTGTGGTTCCACAAAAAATAACTTGAGTCACGTTCCTGGCTAAGAACTTAATTACCAACAGTGCATGGTCAAATGCGCACACCTTACCCAATCAGGAGCAGTGTAACAGCACTCTCATGGAAATCTTTGTCATCTAAGCCAGGGAACTGAATCAAGTTTTTTTTTTTTTTTTTTTTTTTTTTTTTTTTTGTGAAACAGACCTGGTGTGGTTTCAGTTCTTCACTCATAGATTGCTTTCTGATTGCAAGGGACTCTTTCATCCTTGACACTGATTATAATCAGGATAAGGTTTGTCTTACTGACTGACAGTTTATATCTGATCGCTTATAACAAGTAATTATCAATTTTTATGCCCTCCTTCAGTCGAGGATTAACAATGTATCTTTAGAATAATTTTAAAAAAAGGGGAATTTCTTTTCTTCTTTCATATATTTATATTCAGATATTGTATTTTTTTTTTCAACATTTCAGGCATGTGCAATACAGGATGAAATCAGCACCAATCGACTGTTTTCTCTCATGGGCATTGATGACTCGGACATTTCATCTGCCGTTGGACACCTCGTTTCCACACTCATAACCGCCATTACTGAACTGGAGAAATTCAAGGCTTCCAGACAAAAACATGAAGATTTGGTGAAGAAGGAGGGTCCACAGGGCAAAGGGAGACATCCTCCTTTGACACTAGGTAGATACATTTTGTCAAAGACACAAACTTTTTATATGACATTTTTTTATGCTCCACTTTTAAACTTTTGTTGGAAAATGTTTGTATTAACTCTTCTGATTTTTTTAGGCATTTTACCAAGTTTTCCACGTCCCTGTGTATATCAGAAAGTGATAATTCGGCACCTAAACAAACAATTTAACCTCTTGAATATTTCTCAGGCATTTGCCAGGTCGCTCTGTATATCAATAAGTGAAAATTTTGACAGTACCAATAATTATTTGGCTAAAGAAAACGTTGTCTATTAGAACATTTACAAGCAATCTCATTTTATCATAGATTTTTAATCTACAGTCATAGTTTGAGTGCTTATTTCTTTGATTTTTCCCTTATTACAGAGGAGGAGTATGCCAACCGTTCCGATGCTCTTATGCACTGTGCCATCAAAAATATTAACAATGGGAAATTTTCTGCCTGTGGGAGAGACTCTGTTCTTGAACTTCTGATCAAATTTGTCACCAGGCAAGATGGAATAGATTGGGGAATAAAATTTTTAGAAACAGATGGTAAGTTACTAAAACTGTTCATTTCAGTAGTGTGTAAGATATGTTTATTTATACATTGGAGCAACAAGCCATAGTCATTTCTGATCAGTTTTTGCAATTGACATACACATAGAAAGTCACAGAAAAATAATAATTTGTTTCTGCAAAATTAAACAAGTGTTAGAAGATACCTATTTTAAGGAACTGTATGGTGAGGCTTTATAAGAATACTTTGAGCAAATATATAACAAAGTTGCTCCCTCAAATTCCAGGAAACAATGTTTTTATTCAGAAAATAAAAATTCTCCCAGGAATTCCAAGAAACACCGTGACTCAGAAAACGTGATGATTGAGCGCATTCAGAACAGCGGACTAACAGATCCGCAGATCATATATGGCGACCTTCTTAAACGGTTGTCGCTTTATGCAGGATTAGACACTGAATAGATTTCCTTAGCCGAATCGGGGATTATGCAACAAGCATTCAAGTGGGCCGGCCATATTTGATCTGTAGATCTGTTTGTCCCCAGTTCTGAATGAGGCCATTCTCAACAATTTATGGCATAAATAAATTTTTTTTCTCCCATCATTCCAGGCATTACCAGGATTCTAGAAGTTGCCGGCACCATACCAGCTCTAAGCTACACCGTGATGAAGATTTCTGAGAATACAAGGATGAACTGCTCTGTGCTGCTGTCGAAGATTTACGATGAGTTTATCAGCGACAAGAGAAGGGACCAGTACAGAGAACAAGTGTCACAGTATTTCTGGTAAGTTCTTGACAGTTGATTTTTTCCAGTTTTTGAAATAATTCTTTTTCACTTACAGTATACTGTATTTATGTGAACAAAATGTTTGTGAAACTTTCTTATACCAAAGTTTGCTTTAAATACCTATTTTTATCTAAGACATGTAACTTCCCTTTGTTCAGACCTTTGGCAAGTGCAGATGATCCCTATTAATACTGCAACATATCTAATATGTTTTCATGTTTCAGTCTCTGTTACACATTTAAAATATTTTCATGTTTTAGTGACCAGTTTGGAGACACCAGACACATCGACTACCAAATGGAGGCTATAACTGCCATATCTGCCTTGCTCCAGGGTCCGTACGACATCGGCAACACAATCCTGGGGACGCAGGGAGTTCTGGAGATTATGTTGGCGCTGGCGAACTCTCCTGATCCCCTTCATCAGGTATAGAGATTGTAGGAATACTTGGTTCTATAACTTAAAAAAATTTTTTTTTCAAAAAGTTGTATTAGGTTATTAAATAAATACATTAAACAAAAACAGTACTATAACTTAAAGATTGTTAGACATCCTCAGCCTTAGAAATCCAGCTGGGATAGTGTATGCACAAATTTGATTTATATCTGGACTCGCTGTTTGGCACCGATGACGACCGCTTATTTTCAGGTTTAGAGATTGAATGAACAGTATTATAACTTGAAGTTTATAAAGATTATTTATCAGCATAGATAATACTTGGGTACAATATAAACAGACTAGAATCTTCTCAAGTGCTCTTAATGATGTCAGACCTAAAAGTTTAACTCTTTTCTGTAAGTTTTGGTTCAGCATTTCCACAGTGTCTAAGGCCAACAGATGGCAGCACAGTGGTAATCAAGACAGTCTAAATCAGATTTCTCCTTTCCAAATCTTTTCTGAAAGCCATATTATAAAACAATATAAAGATAATGGTATTTTATTACACACTGATTTGAATTCTTTCAGAAAATTTCAGTGGAAGCTTTAGTCCATGCTACATCAAAGAAAGACAAATGCAGTGGCATTGTGAAGCAGGCAGTTCCCATCTTAAAGAAACTTTACCAGTCTGAAAATGATAATATTAAAGTCAGAGCTCTAGTGGTAAGAACAGCCTCCCTGCCCCCCCCCCCCCCCCCCCCTCTCAGACACTCTCTCTTTCTCTCTGTATATCTTTCTGTGTGTGTGTGTGTGTGTGTGTACATGTGCAGAAACAGTCAATATTAAATCTTCAAACCTGTTTAATATCAACTGAAGTGGATTTCAGCAAATTTACAAACTTACACTAAATACCTCATCAAACTACACTTGAGCAGACAATTGATGAGATGCCAGGCTGGTGAATAGTTTTCTTTGCTTAATATTTCAAAAGTTCTCTTTATTCATTATTTTTAAATTTATTTTAAAATCACCTTTTCTCATCACCAGGGTCTGTGCAAGCTGGGTTCATTTGGAGGCACAGATGCCAGTGCTAAGTCTCTAGCTGAGGGCTCCACCCAGGCACTGGCCAAGGCTTGCAGGAAGTAAGAGGGGTTTTTATTGTGTGTGTGTGTGTGTGTGTGTCTGTGTAAATTTTGTTGCTTACAAAAGTTTGAATAAAGTTTTCTGCCCAAATATACAAAAAGAAAGGCTATGTTTTAACTGGCAGATTTCATTGGATGATAAAATGGAATTCGCCAGGTAAAACTGGAGTTTTTAAATTTTTATATACGTATTTGTACATAGTTTACACACTGTATCAAACAGCTGAAGACTGCTTCTGGTTTCTAGTTTGACTTAAGCAGTGCAAAAAATTTCAATTAGTATTTTTTTTTTCTCACAGGATGAATGTCGCAAAGCTGAAATCGGCTGTCAGAATGATTTAAATATTGCATAGTGTAACTGTTAAGGATATAGACTTATGTATGATGATGATGATTATAATGAATTATTCTAAAATTACATCCTAAAAGTAAGGAATATAAAAGAACAATTGTGTGTGGTTTAGGTTCCTGAACAACCCAATGAAGGACGTAGACCTGAGAAAGTGGGCGTGTGAAGGTCTGGCCTTCCTCACACTGGATGCAGATGTCAAACAGGACCTGGTAGAGGACACGGCAGCTCTTCAGTCTCTCATAGATCTGGCCAAGGTACAGTTGGTCTCTCTTTTTGCCCCTCTCTCTCTCTCTCTCTCTCTCTCTCTCTCTCTCTCTCATTTATTTCAAATTTGTATTTTTTTTTTTTTTTGCCATCCTTGTCACTTCATTTCTAATGTAATGATGTCATTTAGGTCACATTCACAACAGCAGACTAACAGATCCAGGATCAAATATGGTCAACCCACTTAAATGCTTGTTGTGTAATCCCCGCGGGGAATCTATTCAGTTTCTAATCAGGAATTGAGCATCAAGCATTTTAGTGGGTGACCATATTTGATCTGCAAGGTCTGTTAATCCACTGCTCTGAATGTGCTTTTAGTAAACCAGTCATGTAACTTCTTTCAAGTCACTCAGTAAAATATCCACCAACCAGATCATTTCTAACATAACACCCTCAGCTTAAACAACCAATCCCATTCCTTGTTACAGGTCAGTGATAAGTCAGTGTTGTATCCTGCAGCCACAGTGTTTGTAAACCTGACCAATAGCTATGAGAAGAAAGAAATCATCCCAGAGCTACTGGAGCTGGCAAAGTACGCCAAACATCACATACCTGAGGAACATGCCAAGGTCAGTGGATGGCTTTTATGTTACAATTAGCTCATTAAAATATTAATATATTGTATACTGGAAAAAATAAATAGAAATAACATTTGCAAAGCTGCACAAGCCTGTTACTGTCAGTATCATGTCCAAAAATTTAAACATATTTTTGCCAGTTTTTTTAATCAGCATTAATAAATGCTACTGTCATTGACATACTGAAAATCATAGATTTTGTCCAGTGAATTTGTAGTTTTTGCAATCAATTTAGTCAGTAAATATAAACTATACAAAATATAGAACACCAAATTTTCTGAACGTCAATACTAATACTGTTAGTATCATCCTTATTTTATTACTTATTTAGGACAAACCAGAGTTTGTGAAGGAAAGAATTGCCAAGCTGGTCAAGGCTGGGATGGTGAATGCCTTGGTGGCTTTCTCTAAGACAGACAGCCATAGCAGTAGAGAGCTGCTCAGTAGGTGAGTCAATGAGATATAGGCTACATTCACAACTAGTTGATCAGCAAAATAACAGAACTGCAGATCAAATATGGCCATCCCACATGCACCGACTATGTTATGCGTGTTGCATTTTGGTCTAGAAATATGCACTGCTATTTCCCGTCAGGCAGTTGCAGCTTTCGAGGCTTCCAGAAGAAGGCATGCACACATGATCAGGGGAATTGGGTTAACTGTGCATGCCAATCATTAGAGTGGAAAGGTGAATATTGGAGTGAAGAATTGCTCAGTAGGTTGATGAACTTCGTTGATAAACACATATTGTCAGCCAAAATGTCAAGCAGTCAGTAGGAAGTTTTTGTGTAGATCAATGTTGATATTGCAGATTCTTCAAAAGTATTTCAGGGATTATGAAATTATTTCCAATTGCCGTACAAAACTGAATTACCTGTTATTAATTCAGAGTTTTCCTGGCTGTGGTTGAGGAGACAGAATACAGAGGACTGGTTGTTCAGCAAGGAGGAGCTAAGGTAAGACAGGACATATGATTGGCTTAGGACTGTTTGCCAGGTGAAGCAAAGAGAGGATAAGACCTTTGGTTGTTTGATTTCGTGAAGTTTGCCGAATTTAGCCAAGGCTTTTGATTGGCTGATACTGTTGTTTGCAAGAGTAGCTATTGTATCGCAACCTAGAATTTTGTTTTGTGTATAGCTCTTTTAGAAATTTATCTTTACCAAATAGCTGCCTCTCCAGAAAAAAGGGACAGGGAATACTTTCATTGCCATACCTATTTGTTTTATTGAATCTGTTTGTTTTTGTTTTGATTATTTTATCTATGTTCAAAACTACACCCATATTGCTGTATTTTCCAGTCACTTATTCCTCTGGCCAATGAGGGTACAGATGTTGGGAAGACCTGCGCAGCCCAAGCACTGGCCAAGATAGCCATTGTGATGAACCCAGAAGTTGCCTTCCCAGGACAGAGGGTATGAAATTTGTGAAAAATACACTTGTCCAAAAAAGTTCAGAAACAGCATTATTTTGAATAATTATAAGATAACCATGTAAAATACTATGTTTAAATAATAAAATATTGTCTGTGTTCATACTCAGTAATTTAAGCACGTTGTTTCTCTCTTCAGTGTCTAGAGGTGGTACGCCCTATACTACAGCTGGTCCACGTTGAGAAAACTGCTCTTCAGAACTTTGAGGCACTTTTAGCCCTCACAAACTTAGCGTCTCTTAACGACTCCGTCAGGTTAGTGATGTCTTTGTCTCTATCACACACACACAGATTCTCTCTCTCTCTCTCTCTCTCTCTCTCACTCTCACTCTCTCTCTCTCTCTCTCTATGAGTAAAAAGAAATATAAAGCACCTTGAAATCTGCTCTGTCATGATTTTTTTTTCGAGATAATGAATTTTACCTATTGAATATATTTTTCCACAAAATTAAAGCTCTATTGCTTGTTATATTATGATGGTTCTCTGTGATCTGTATTGTGTTTAATGTGTAACAGTATTTAATTCATATTCTAATATATTCATTTTACAGGAGAAGAATCCTAAAAGAAGGTGGTTTTCCCTCCATAGAGTTTTATATTTATGAAGACCACGAGTTGTTACGCCGTGCCTCAGCGGAGTGTTTGTGTAACCTCGTAATGAGTGAGGAGGTAAAAAGTCCATATTTTATCTATTAAGAAGAGGTTGATATCTCTTACATGGCACTCAGGAAATCTGTTTTCTACTGAAGTCAAATTGTTCTTCCCCTGAGGTGTTTGAATTGCTACTAATTTGATATTTACACTCATTTTTGTCGCGGTTTATCTTGTTCTCTGTATGTTTGAAATATTGAATTTTTTTTTGTTAGTTACTAGTTGCATTTCAGACATTTCCCAGTGATTTTGAAGGGGAATTTATTTGATAAAATTGCAGGTTGCCAAAATGTACATGGGAGAGAACGACAAGGTGAAGTTACTGGTGCTGTACTGNGACATATCTGTGTAGGCCTATATCTGTGGGAAATTAATCTGTCGCCCTGGTAGAGGGTACCTTTCCTCCCTTACCACGCATCTTGTGCCATTTCTTTTGATACGACAGTTGACCAAAGAAATGGTGAAAAACTGTTGAATTAATAGGTTTGTATCGGCGAGGCCGACACGGGAAAGTCACAAAGTCTAATGCATCGAGATACAAGATGTTTATTGTCTTCTACCTCTATTGTTTGTCTGTACGTGGCTTTTGGTCTCACTTGTATTTTTTTTTTTTTTTTTTTTTTTTTACCCGTTTTTCCTAGTTTGCGCGCTGGCCGCCCCTTCCTGCTTGTTTATTTTTCCAGATGTTCGTCATTATTATTATATATATATATTTTTTTTTCTTATCCGCTTAGTATTATTCTATTCCATTTCCTTGTCTCTGGTTATCGGGAGCCCATATGTCTTTACCCTTTTTTAGGAATGGGGTTGCCCTTTTCAGGCCCTGTGATTTTTCCCTTTCTTCCTCCGGTTATCGGGAGACCGGAGTATCTACAAGGACCGCTATGCACAATTTTTATCATTATTTATGTAAGTCAAGGGTCGTATTTTTGCCTGGTTTACTTAATATTATGTTTTTCAACTTAAGTTCTTTGAATAGTTGGCTATTTTCGAACCTGCTAATTGTTTTTTGTGCCCAGAAAAAATAGTCTGTTTGATATTTATTCGATGTTGGCCAGCTCGTGCAACGTTACGATCGAAGTTTTTGTTGGTAACTTCAGCGCTATACGTAGCGCTCTATTCTGAATTTTTTGTAGATCTTTGAGCCTTGCCTTGTTGATACATGTAGCTGTCAGTATGACCACCCCGTATCTCGAGTATGCGACGAATGAAGGATCTGCACTCGATGCCCCCCCCCCCCCCCTCCTCCAGCTTGTTCCTCTGAGTCTAACGAGAAGGCCAGTTCTTTTCCTGGCTCTATTCACTGTGTTGTCTACATGTTTTTTCAACTTAATTTTCTGTTGAATGTGATTCTCGGTAGTGCGACTTCCTCACATGTTTCTCGGTCACCAAATAATGTTAGGTTAAGCTCGGGTTGTTCTTTTGATTTTGAAAAGATGATTAATTGAGTGTTCTTGGTGTTCAGTTTTATCCACCATAGAGAGCACCATAGTTAGAGATCCTTTATCACACCCGTCACTTTGGTTTCTATGTTTTTAATATTTTTATTTTTAATATTTTTACATGATTTTCACATATGTTAGGAATAGCAACGGGCTGATTACAGACCCCTGAGGCGTGCCAGCATTGAAACTTACATATTCGGATACCTTGCCTTTGATTCTGACCTTGATCTTTCTGTCTTTCAAAAATGATGTCAGCAAGCGATGTCAGCAAGCAAAGATGTCAGCAAGCGAACCATCTTAACTGGCAGGTTGCTATTTGCTACCCTCTACCTGACGACGTTTTTTTTTTTTTTTTTTTTTTTGGGGGGGGGGGG